TTTTGTCCCTCAAGTTTCTCAAACGTATAGACTTGGTCCCTCAATTTTTTAGGTATACATTTGATCCTTCAAGTCTCAAAACTAGATAAGTTCGGTCCAAAACCAGATTTTGAGTACGTTGACCAGGTTTGATCGATGAACGATAAATTCAAAAAATTAGCAAACAAAGTAAAATAACTGAAATTTCATGACAACCAACATGCTTGCATGCGCTAGATGCCTGAAAATTTTCGTGGTCAAATAACATCCGAGGAGCTCTGGCAAAATATCAAATTTTGGCTTTTTCTATGAGCCAATATTTTTTCACGAGCTCCTCAAATGTCGAAATACTACAGAAAATTTCACGCACACGGCGCACCCAAGCATCTTGATTACCACTAAATTTCAGTTTTTTAAAAATATTTTGTTATTTTTATGAATTTACTGTTCATTAGTCAAAACTGGTCAACATGGTCAAACCCGGTCAAATGTGGTCAAGCTCGGTCAACATGCTCAAAATCTGGTTTTGGACAAAACTTATCTGGTTTTAAGACTTGAAGGACCAATTGTATACCAAAAAATCTTGAGGGACCAAATCTATACTTTTGGGAAACTTGAGGTACCAAAAACATAATTTTCTCCACAACTTATAAGGATAATCGACTAGGGCAATGTACAATGGTTGATAAGACCAACTTGTTTATTCTTGTCACATAATTTAGAGAAGACAATAACAAAAATATGTATGGTGAGTTATTTCTTAGTCTTATCTTCACTAACTAGATATCCCTAGAGAGATGTTTTCCTAAGCGATCATCTCTTATCTAAAATTGGTATCTCTCGCCTCCATCTCAACACTTATCTACTCAGTGGCGGAGCCAGCTCGGCCGGAGAGCCAATGGAAAATACAAAAGGTTCCTATCCACCGGCTGTTTGCCCTTACAAAATGAGGATCAACTCTTCATTTGCACTATTGTTCAAATGGTAATCCAGGCTAGGGCCCAGCAGCTTCCCGGGTAGCCGGGTGATAGCCCCGCCAGTCCGAGCCCATCCACCTCCTCCCTCTCCCGCTCTGCCGAAGCTCCGGCGCTTCACCATGGTTCGGAGGAAGATCACCTACTACGCAATGCTCACGCCAGAGCGCGGGTACGAGATCCAGTAGGAGATTCGGGCAAGACAGGCCGCGCGCGCTGCCCACATTGCTGTCGGGCTGCCTCCGGACTCGCCGGAGCCGGAGAAGGAAGAGGAGGAGGGAGCCGGGGGAAGAGGAGGGAGAGGAGCTGGCTCCAATGGAGGTGGAGGAGGCGGAGCAGCCGAAGCTGGAGCTGGCGGAGCAGGAACTGTCGGGCTTCAACGTGGAGCAGGCGGAGGCGGAGTTCGTCGTAGCCCAATCGAAGAAGATGGCGGAGCAGCAGGCCATCCTGGAGTTCATCCAGGATGAGGGCGCGCCGGAGACTTGACAATAGTTTGGCGTAAAACCGATGAGTAGAAGTTGGGGTGGATTGGGCGCACCAAAAAAATTGGTGCCATCCAAACGGAAAGCCAAGCCTGGTCAACAATCAGTTTTTTGGTTTGGCAGCGCCAAGGGCTCCAATCCAAGCAGCCCCCTAAACTTATACAAAAGCAAGTAAAGTTTTGGCATAGATAAACTAATAGTAGCAAGGTACCATCTCTGGAACCGCATTAAGATCATCGTAGATTGAATCTCGGGTAAGTAACATACCGATGGACAAAGGGAACTACGTATGGTTTGGCCGATAAAGATCTTCGTAGAATATGTAGGAACCAATATGCGATCCAGTTTCCGCTATTGGTTATTGATCAGAGAGGTGTCTCGGTCATGTCTACATAGTTCTCGAACCCGTTGGATCCGCACGCTTAACGTCCGTTGACGATATATATGTTGTTATATGAGTGATATGATTTGGTGACTGAATATTGTTCGGAGTCCCAGATGATCACGGACATGATGAGGAGTCTCAAAATGGTCGAGAGATAAAGATTGATATATAGGATGATGGTATTCAGACACCAGAATAGTTTCGTAGAACACCGGGTACTCATCGGGTCACCGGAAGGGGTTCAGGGCACCCTCGGAAATGTATGGGCCTTATGGTCCAAAGGGGGGACAGACCAGCCCACAAGGGGGCTGGTGCGCCCCTTCCCTTGGTTGGCCGGCCCTAGGGGAAGGAAAGGGGAGGGTGGCCCCTCCTACCTTTCCCTCCTTAGGAGAGAAAGGAAGGGAGGCGCCACCTCCTCCTTCCTTCCTCCCGCACTTCAAATAGTTAAGGAAGGGGGCGCCACTTGGGGGAAGACCTCAAGTAGGATTCGGCCTACTTGGGGGCGCCTCCTGGCTGCTCCCTCCACCCCCACCTATATATATGTGGGAGGGGGCGCCTAGCACAAGACACAATATTGTCTTAGGCGTGTGCGGCTCCCCCCTCCACTGTTTACACCCTCGGTCATATTTTCATAGTGCTTAGGCGAAGCTCTGCGGAGATAACTTCACCATCATCGTCACCACGCTATCGTGCTGCCGGAACTCATTCACTACCTCGTCGTCTTGCTGGATCAAGAAGGCGTGGACATCATCGAGCTGAACGTGTGATGAACGCGGAGATGTCGTACGTTCGGTACTCGATCGGTTGGATCGCGAAGAAAAGTTCGACTACATCAACCGCGTTGTCAAACGCTTGCCCTTACTGTCTACGAGGGTACATAGACACACTCTCCCCCTCGTTGCTATGCATCTCCATTGATAGATCTTGCGTGTGCGTAGAATTTTTTTGTTTACCATGCAACGTTTCCCAACAGTGGCCGCCCTACCAGCTCCTTGGTGGACCACTCATCGAACTTCAAGAACAAATAACCGTGTGGAACTCTGCAAATCCCGAACACCATAAGACGGGTAAGGTCTTCCTTCCTCGGGAAGTCAACCTTGTACACACTGTCCTTCATATGCACTAGAGTCCAACGAAACTCCATTGAAACCAGTCTCCTGAGCTGCTGAATAACCTGCTCCTGAGAAAGAACTCCAGCAGTCACTCTAACGATCCTTGTCCTTCACTCTCAACCTGCGGTCGGCTGGAGTTGGCACATTGGATCTCGATGTCCACGTGCATCGTCTTTCCCACTAATGACCCTGTACTTCATGTATTCAAAAAGTCTTTCAGTGGTTTAGACGGTGCCCCATAGAAACAGATCCACACCTTTTGAAGTGGCCGCCCTACCGGCTCCTTGATGGACCACTCGTCGAACTCCAAGAACAAAGAACCGTCTGGATCCCTGCAAATCCCGAACACCATAAGACCTCCTCCAATGCATTGGTGCTTAAGAGAGGTGCTAAGTGCATTATAATGCTCTTTCTTCTCTTTAATTGCTTTGCCACGTCATTTTTCTGCTCTATGTGACACCTTTAGCATCTGTACACCGTGAAGCACTGGGAAGGGCCCAAGACAGGCAAGGTCTCCTTCATCGGGAAGTCTAACCTTGTATACGTTGTCCTCCATATGCACTATAGTCCAACAAAACTGCACTGAAACCAGTCTCCTGAGCTTCCGAATCACCTGCTCCTCAGAAAGAACTCCACCAATCACTGTAACGATCCCTATCCTGTCACTCTTAACCAGGGCCTGCTCTCAACCCGCGCGGCTGGAGTTGGCACACTGGGTCTCGAAGAAAAGTAACATGTCGTCAGACACTGCACCTTGCCTGTACACGTACATGAGCCAGCCCCTTGATCCAGCTCATGGGTCTGGCCTGTTTGAGAACCACCAAAGACTACAAGTACCTGAGAGGAGGCAACGGACAGGGCATGAAGTGGATCACGGACGGCAAACGGCTTCCTCCTTCTCCTACCTCTGACGCTCTCTCTCCCTCCATCCCCTTCTCGCTACCTTGTATCCCTCCTTAATTAGCTACCTCATTTCATGTAATCCCGTGGCATTGAGAACTTAGTGAAGCTGGGCCTTAACATAAAAATCCTGTCGGAATCCTCCAAATCAAACGAGCCTTTAATCAGAAGTTCTGCATCTACGGTTGAAAGTTCCTGACAAAAGGTAGTTGAATGTGAATCGACACTTTGGGACGATCGCCCAAGTAAGATGCATGAGTTGTTAACCACCTATGAGTTGACTTGCAGTCTGTCATCGCCGGCCGCATGTGGCAAATCTTGCTCGTGATTCTTTTCTTAATTACTATAGGCCATCGCAATATCCGTGACTAGCTGAAGAATAATCCATCTAAAGAGGGAGCATAAGCAAGCAGAGAATTAATAAATGTCTTCGCCACTATTATTATACTCGCGAAAGTGCTAGTAGGCGATGGATGTATGCACGACTCTGGGAGGATGGGCAGTCCAGCCGTTGATATGTGCTGGATAGTATACATGAACGGCTTGATATGTGCTGTCATGCACAAGTCGTCCACACGGCGTCGTGTGTATAGCAGCTTGCTTTTGCATTCAAAATCTCACCCTAAAACCTAATATAATCATAATTTGCTGCTGGATCGATCCTCTTGTAGGAGAGCAATAATTAATGCGGGCATATTTTACACTCTTGGCCTAAAATGTTTTGAATTATGAATAAATAAAATCCTCTAAAGGAAAGTATGGCGCGGCAGCTTTTTTCTTTTTCTTTGAAAGATGTTGTTGGGCCTGGTGTGCTACGATATTGATAACATGCGACTTGTAATGTGGCATCAAGATAATACATTTATGATGCATAGCTCATCTCATATCATATGCACACAACATCTACGCGTGCAGTGCAAGGGGAAGCACCCACGTACCCACTGTAGACAGCAAATCTTGGTCGATCTACTCATGTGCGTACGTACGTTGGTGATCAGCCCATTGACTCTGCACGTAGAGGTGGTGTTCCACTACGGGACGATCGAGAACATGCCTAGCTACTGTAGTTTAACAAGTTTGGAATGTGCTGTACACCATGCCATGAGCTTGACCTACTATCTATATTATTAGTGGTTGCAAGGGAGCTAGCTAGCAACCGCGCCGAGCAATGGAAGGTGGCCGGGTGCTTATGGTTCTTCTCCTGTGGCTCTTGGTCGGCCTCGCCGGCTCCAGCCCTCCACCGGAGCCAGTGGTCTGTGACTATGCCTATGGCAGTGGCACGTCCGGCTGCACCGTCTCCAACGCCTACGGCTCCTTCCCGGACCGCACCGCCTGCCGCGCGGCCGACGCCACCTTCCCGCGCACCGAGGAGGAGCTCGTCGCGGCCGTGGCAGCCGCGGCGGCTGCCAAGCGCAAGGTGAAGGTGGCCACCAAGCACTCCCACAGCTTCCCCAAGCTGGCCTGCCCCGGCGGCAACGACGGCGCCATCATCAGCACGGCCCGGCTCAACAGGACAGTGAGCGTCGACGCCGCCAAGAGGCTGATGACGGTGGAGAGCGGCATGGTGCTCAGGGACCTCATCCAGGCGGCCGCCGCGAAAGGGCTCGCGCTGCCGCACTCGCCGTACTGGTCGGGGCTCACCGTCGGGGGCCTGCTGGCCACGGGCGCGCACGGCAGTTCGCTCAAGGGTAAGGGCGGCGCCGTGCACGAGTACGTGGTCGGGATGAGGATCGTCACGCCGGCGCCCGCCAGCCAAGGGTTCGCGGTGGTACGGGAGCTCGGTGCCCGCGATCCTGACCTGGACGCGGCCAAGGTCTCCCTCGGCGTCCTTGGCGTCGTTTCCCAGGTACTCTACCTATGTCTACGTGGCCCAAGAAACTCCCATGCCCTACCTAAGTACTTCTTCCGGTTCTTTTTTTTTTCAAAAAACATGCAATCTATTCATCGCACTACAATGAATACCAGAAATAAAAATTACATCCAGATTCATAGACCACCTAGCGACGACTACAAGCACCGAAGCGAGCCAAAGGCGCGCCGCCGTCATCGCCCCTCCATCGCTGGAGCCGGGCACAACTTGTTGTAGTAGACAGTCGGGAAGTCGTCGTGCTAAGGCCCCATAGGACCAACACCCCAGAACAGCAACCGCCGCCGATGAAAAATAACGTAGATCGAAAGGATCCAAATCGAAGACACACGAACGTAGACGAACAACGACGAGATCCGAGCAAATCCACCAAAGGTAGATCTGCCGGAGACACACCTCCACACGCCCACCAACGATGCTAGACGCACCGTCGGAACGGGGGCTAGGCGGGGAGACATTTATTCCATCTTCAGGGAGCCGTCGCCGTCTCGCCTTCCTGAGTAGGACACAAACCCTAACAAGATTGAAAAAACGACTAAAAAACGACTAAAAACGGAGCCCTCCCGCCGGACCTTGCCAGGATCCACCGCGCCTCCATGGCCCTAGGGCCACCGGAGACGAGACGGACATGCACCGGCGCCGGCGAGAGGCACGAACCCTAACTTTCTTTCTTGGAGAAGGAGGAGGAGTTTACTACCAACCCAATTGCCTAGCAATCCCTTGTGCGATTTTCTTCCAGTTCTTTTTAATCTGCATAATATAGGTTTTGTTCAAAGACAAACTAACTCTAATTTGAACAAACTTATAAAAAAATATCAACATTCACAATATCAAATTAAAATTGTCGGATTCATTATGACATGTACTAGTTTCATAGTATATGTATTTGATATTGTAGATGTTGATACTAATTTTTAATATAAATTTGGTCAAATTTTGTAAATTTTGACTTGATACAAATCTAATAAAATGACACGAGGGAGTACTACACAAGTACAATACGTAGGGATTTTTAAGAACTTTTAAGTAGAAGAGATAGGACTTCCCGTGCAAGCCCACACGTCTTGAGCAAATACACAGCCAGGGAGGATGTGCTAAATCGTCTCGAAGAGCTGGTACGTTGTACAAAAGATACTGGTGAGACGACGCCGTACGGGAAAGGGCCATCTTTCCACATACAGTGCCTATAGTTTTTTTTAAAAAAAAAGAGTCAAACTTCTCAATTTTTAACCAAATTCATAGAGAATTTTTTTTAATGACGCATATGTGCAGGTTACGCTGGCCTTGGAGCCCATGTTCAAGCGGTCAGTGACGTTTGTGACGTGCGACGACTCGGACCTAGCGGAGCAGGCCACCAAGTGGGGCAACCTCCATGAATTCGGCGACATGGCGTGGCTGCCCGAGCAGCGCAAGGTGATTTACCGCAAGGATGACCGTGTGGACATCACGTCGCCGGGTGATGGCCTCAATGACTACATAGCCTTCCGCTCCAACCCAACGGCCGCGCTCATCGCCGCTAGAGTCATGGAGGATCTTCTTGAGAAGAACGCCAGCGCCATCGCCCGGTGCAAGGCGGCACACAAGATGGTATCATCGTTTGAGACGGTGGCATACGGCTTCACCAACGACGGTCACTTGTTCACGGGGTACCCGGTGGTGGGGTTCCAGCACCGCATCCAAGCGTCTGGCGCGTGTGTCAACAGCCCAGAAGACATGCTCCTTACCTCGTGCCCGTGGGACCCACGCACTCGGGGACTCCACTTCTACTCCAATGCATATAGCATCGCACTCTTGAGGGTGTCAGCGTTCATTGCCGACATGAAGCAGCTCCGCGAGCGCAACCCACTGGCCTTCTGCGGAATCGACGCCAAAGTGGGTATGCTCCTCCGCTACGTGAAGGCATCTTCCGCCTATCTCGGCAAGTCGGAAGACTCGATCGACTTTGATATAACATACTATCGGAGTTACACCAGAGGCGAGCCCAGCCCGCATTCTGACGTGATGGACGAGCTTCAACAGATGGCGCTACGCAAGTACAGAGCCATCCCTCACTGGGGCAAGAACCGCAACTTTGCCTTTGAAGGCGCCATTGACAAGTACCCCAAGGCCGACAAGTTCCTGGAGGTAAAGAGCAGGTACGACGCCGATGGGATTTTCTCTAGCGAATGGAGTGACCAGGTTCTCGGAATCAGTGGGAGCCCAATCATTGCCGGGAAGGGTTGCGCAATTGAGGGGCTTTGCGTCTGCTCCGAGCACTTGCATTGTGCACCTGAGCAGGGCTACTACTGCCGCCCGGGGAAGGTGTACACGGAGGCAAGGGTCTGCTCGTTCCAACCCAACTGATGTGTTTACATGGCAGCTTTAAATTTATTTCTGTCATGTGCTCTTTATACTTTTTCCAACATGATGTTTTGCTTTCCAGGTCCGTGTGGTGACAAAAAAAAAACTGTGTCCTATGCGATGTTGTTTCTTCATCAAGATGGCCATGGTGACCCAAAATAATGTTTTCCCTTCTGGTTTATGTTTCACTCTACGGGTTTGCTAATTCTGATTCTTGTCTGCGTGAAAATTAACAAAGTTACATCTAATCACTAGTAAAAAATAGGGCTTTCGTCCAAACTCAATATACACATTAGTCCCGGTTGCATCACGAACCGGGACTAATGTGAGCATTAGTCCCGGTTCGAGCGGCTAAGGCGTCGGGAAGGCATTAGTCCCAGTTCAAATGGGACCTTTAGTCCCGGTTTGAGACACGAACCGGGACTAAAGGGCATCGAACCCTTTAGTCCCAGTTCGTGTCTCAGACTGGTTAGACCTTTAGTCTCGGTTTGAGACATGAAC